TTCACACAGGCTGTTAGTTTCACTTTTGCCAGAAAGTCGTGTATGCCTAAGGTTGAAAATAAATGATGTTTATAGTGAATGCCCCTATGAATGGTTTTATTTTTACGATTTTGTTTTAATCCAAATGATGCGTGTGCTAAGTGAGCGAACATCAAAGATCACACAACAAAATTGCGCACTCTCTCTCTCTCCCTACCGTTAAGTAACTCGTGCATTGTTTTACTTACTTGTTTTTGACATATCCGACCGAACTACAAACTTTCCAGTGATGTCTGTGAGATAGATATATTCACTCGACAAGCTTGCGCATCTGCGCCGCCGCACGCTCAATCCACTCAACGTCCTTTGTTAAATCAGCTCGCGCACATACAGGCATTAATACTGAATGTTTAACGTTATATTCATTGCATACATATACTTCGTAGTAGACAACGGGGCATTTTTACGAGTACGAGTACAGGAGCTCAGTATCGGGCCCGATACCGATACCAGTATCGGTGCATCCCTAGTTTGTAGTTCTAATCGAATCCTCATCCACCGCACATGTGTTGTGGGCAGTATTAGCCGTTAAAGCTGATTTATACTTCTGCATCGAAACCGCGCCGTAGCTTGCATCGTAGGTTGTGCGTAGCACGTGTAGCCTACGGCACAACCTGACGGGCACCTCTCCAGAAATGTAACTGCGCGTCAATTCTACGCGGACCGCAAGCGCTGTGATTGGTCTGCTAAAACCCTTCCCTCCATATGTATTTGAGTTTTGTGTGTATTTTTTGCACTTTAATGTTACACCTTCTTATTTAAAATAAACAAAGCAAAGAACAAGTGTCTTATAATTTATTATACAACACAGCATTATACATCACTTAGTTGTTCGCGACAAACAATGTTGTTCTGCCATGGAACAAGTCCTTGTGGAGACTGAAAGAGTGCGATCTTCTCCTGTTCCGTTGTCATCTCCTTTTTTTGCAGTTTTAAATAAATGATCTGTTCTTGGATATTTATTTGCTGATGCTTCTCTGACAAGCTGCTTCTTCTTCGGCTTTTGCCTTGATACTTTTGGTTACACCAGCAACATGCCCATGGACACTGCAGACTAGCGGTTTGCATGTGTAATTGCACGTCGACGTAGAAGTATAAATGAAAACTGACACGTAGCCTACGGTGTGGAGGCTACGGCGTAGGTCAGACGCAGAAGTATAAATCAGCCTTTAGAGTGTGCATGGATCTGCACTTCGAATTTCTACCGGAAGCAGTAAACCATCCGGGTACCTTTGGAATACTCATTTCAACATACTACGATTTGGGACATACTAATTCTAATTTCGAATACTATTTAGGACGGATAGTATGCTAATTGGGACACAGCACAAGTGATTATTTTAGTGCTGTAAATCCATTTATCCTTTGCTGAAACTTCCACGTCGTCATGGAGAGCGCAGGTCAC